CTAGAGCTGATTGCAACAACCTGGACATGGGACTAGCATATAAAGTGGAGGGAGTGAGGGTGAGAATGGGAGTCGGGGGTGAAGACATTCTTATGAGACTGAGCCCTTAGCCTGTGGAATTGGATGCTCTCTCCAGGTAGTGTCAGAACTGAGTTGAGTTGTAGGACACCGAGCTGGTGTCTGAGAATTGCTTGGTAGTGTGTGGGAAAATTTCTCCCCATACAAGTTGAAATTAGTTCCAGAACCTTTAGGTGAGGAATAAAATTTGAGAGTAAGGAGAAAATGCCTGATGACCACCAGGTTCCTGGCTTAGGTCACTGGGTGAATGGTGATGTCATTAAATAAGATAGAGGATACAGGAGGCCAGGCAGGTTTTAGGTGGTGGTGAATGTCTTGAGTTTACATTAGGACATATTATCTGATTATTTGCACTAATCAACCTCATACATTATTAACATATAGGCTTGGGTGAAAGATCTAGGTAAGAAAAAACTCCCTTATAAAAACATTCATCAATTAGTACATCAGTCAAAAATATTTTAGTAAAAAAAAATTTTATTGTTTCTTTTATGTCTTCTAAGGAGTTAAGTGCAATGGGTATGTGGACCACACCTCCCAAGTTTTCTGCAATAGTTTCACTTTCCTACAGTATTATTTTCAACAAAGGCAATTCATTAAATATATAATTAATATGATTCAATTTTTGTGTCTTGTAAGACTTTTCTCATAAATAAGTTCATAAGTTATTAAAAGGTTTAATGCATGAATCCTGAAAATAAGAAATCCGTAGTCTAATCTAGAAGAATTCAACATCTCTTAAACATTTAGTGGTAAACTTTGGTGTTATGAAGGTTCATGGAGCATCCAGAAAATGGCTGTCATTTTTGGAAGGAGGAATTAGAGAGGGCTACAGTTAAGGTGAAAGTGGAATTGCAGCAATGCTCTAAAGAATGACCGGTATCTGAACACTCGGGCAGTGGGTGAAGAGAGCGGCATTTGGAAAGACACCAAGTTGGATATGACCTCAATCTGTTCAAGGGAGATTGAGGACCATGGCCTGTCTTGGTTTGTCTTTGACTCTGCCACAGAGAGCAGCTGATAGGGTATATGACTTCTATTCCTGCTTTCCCATGTCTACCTCCTCTTCATGATTCATTTTATTATTTTTCTGAGTTATAGTGAAGATTTCTAGTTGTATGGTTTCCATGATCTCGTTTTCCATCCCCTTCCTGGCTTTTTTCAATTTACATTTCTGCTTTTCTGGCCTTCATCCTAAAAGTTTTGCTAAATTTTATATTCCTAAGCACCTTAATTTCTATTTTGGTAGCATTCCCGTTCCCCTGTGAGGTCCACATGCAGCCTTTTGAGACAATGTAATTGAAATTCCCATTAGAATTAACTGTGTAATAAGATGTATTCTTCTAGCATATTTTCAAGAGCTGTGGACAAATAAACATGTGACACTGAAAAATCCATCATGTGACAAAGATATGTATTAATGCCTCCTGCACAGTAGACATTTGATAAATCTTGCCAAATGAATAGATTTTAGGTAATAGCCTGCTAATAAAAAAAAGAATAGGTCTTTCCTAGTGCACACTTTGCATAGCACTTTTTACTATCAGAACAAGAAATACAGTAAGAGGCTTAAGGAATAAACAGTGAGGCCATGGTTCTTCTGGATGTGATTTCCTCGTCTTCTCTTTCAGTCAAACCAAGTTGACTTCTATGCTCTGAACGGAGATGAGAATCAAGGGACTGGTGTGTCAGCCCCCTTCTGTCTTTTGGGCCTAGCCCAGGGATTTGTATGAAGCATATCAAAACAGCAGTCCAAGTGGCTGATGTCCAGTTCAGCTATTTGTTCACAAAAAGGAGTTCTGAGTGCTTTGAAAACAGTTTGTTCTTTAAACTTTGTGAGCATTCCTTTTACAATTTGTTTATACTGTTTAGTGAACAACCTACTGATGTCTCTGTTAGAGCAAAATTAAAATTCAGTTAGGCTCACTTTGATGGTTGATCATAAATTCTAGATTAGCAAAGTCCAAATTAATGAGATTTAATTATCTAAATAGGTATATGTATATAGGTATATGTGATATATGTGATATATGTGATAGCAGTTTGAAACTGGAAGGAAATATAAAGAAGAATTCTGTTTAAATCTTACATTTTACAGATGAAGAGATTTGTGACTGGTAAATTGTTCTTCTTGTACTCAAGAGACTAGTTCTATATTTAAACCCAATCCAGAAATAGTCTCTTTACAGATATAATTTGCTACGATTCCATGACTCTCTGAGGAACAGGTAACGTGTTATGTAATGCTCTTATTTTTATTAGCTGTGTCTTATCTCCTGTAGATCTATAAGCACTTTGAAGGTAGAAATTTTGTTTTATTGATCTTTGCATTTTCCACAATACCTGCCCCAGTACATCCCACGTTTGATACTGGATTGAGCATGAAGCTATCTGCAGGCAGCCATGATCCTGCACTGAAATTAAGGAAACAGGCATTAAGGTGGTAGGTCTCCTGTGGGCTTAGCACATTTTCTTTTGCTTCAGAACATCTGATAATTTCCCTGGATAACCTTGTTTGCTATTTAGAGACCTGCAGTCTATGCTCTTCACCTGATCATTATAAAGCTGTCCTTATATTCAGACCCTCCCATCCCATTGTCTCCCCACCCTAAAACCAGTAGCTGCATTGGACTGGACTAGATTTGCCATTCCCTGGTTTGGACACAAATTAGAACTACTACCACTGTACAGGGCCTCCTTCATTCTGGACTGCTGAGTATAACTCAGGCATCCTGCTGTAATCCCACTCTGAGAGCTAAAGCTATTGCTTGCCTATCACTGTTGCATAAAATAAATCAGTGTTGAACGATCTGAAAGAATGAATTTTATCATTAATTATTCACTTGATAAATATTTATTGAGTACTTAATATATATCATACTGCATGCTATTTGGGTGCTAGAGATACAACAAGGAACAAGATCAAATCCCTGCCCTCCATGGAGTTTATATTCTAGTCTAGAAGGAACACAATAAGAAAATAAATAAGTAGATATATAATATAAAGTTGCTGCTAAAAAGTAAGTGGGGAAAGAGAATAGAAAATGACATTAATCAAAATCACTAACATGAAGGAAATGTGAATCAAAACCACAATAAGCCTTCACCTCATGCCTGTCAGAATGGCTATTATCAAGAAGACAAGTATTGGCCAGGATGTGGAAAAAGAGAGCCTTGTGTGCTGTTGGTGGGAATATAAATTGGTATAACCCCTGTGAAGAACAGTACAGAGGGTCCTCAAAAAATTAAAAATAGAGCCACCAAAACTGACTGGCTAAAGCTGCAAGTGAGATGCCAGTGACCATGGGGCCTAAGAACAGTCTCAGCCAAGCTACTTTGACCACATGAAGATGGGCTTTGTGATGAGCTGAGCAGTGGGCATTGTGGCTGGGGTGCTCTTCTACACCTTTTCCTGTCTCAGGATCTGAATGCAGGATCAGGAGCTGATGTGTGTCATTGGGAAAACCATGAAGAGTGGTGACACCTTTGACACATTCACAGCCATCGGGATGGGTATCCGATGCTAATCAGGGCAGTGGTTGCCTTCTACATCTACCCCTTCTCGTCAGTCTCAGCTTATGTACTATAATAAAACAAAAGTCTTTGAGTAGCTGAAAAAAAAAATAGAGCCACCATATGATCCAGCAATTCTACTTCTGGGTGTTTATCTGAAGAAAACAAAGATATTAATTTGAAAAGAGAAATATACCTCTATGTTCATTGAAGCATTATTTATGATAGCCAAGATATGGAAACAACCTAAGTGCCTATCAATGTATGACACAATCCACACACAGTGGAATATTACTCAGCCATAAAAAGAAGGAAATCCTGCTATTTGCATTGGTATGGATGGACCTCAAGGGCATTATGCTAAGTGAAATAAGATAGAGAAAGACAAATACCATATGATCTCATTTATATGTGGAATCTAAAAAAGCAACTCCCCTCCCCCCAAAAAACAAGCTCATAGATACAGAGAACAGATCAGTGATTGCTAGAGGTAGGTGGTGGCAAATGAATGAAGATAGTCAAAAGGTACTTCTTAAAGTTCTGATTTTGTGCTTCACCTCTCTCACTTGCCAGGAGCCAGCCCCTCCTGCTGCAGTCTATCTTCCCATCACTTTGGATTTGCTTCTCTGCATGTCCTGCCTTCCAGAAAGTGGTCAATTTTCTTTTCCTAGAATTGCTGCTCTTCTCTCCTATCTTCTGTTGAGTTTGTATGTGTTCAGAATGGTTTGATAATTATCTAGCTGAACTCCTGGGACCTAACTATATCTCAGTCTCCTACTTCTCCTCCATCTTGCTCCAATTCAACTGATATACAGAATTTTAGACAGTGACTCATTGGTGAGGTCAATGGTATCTTAGTGAATTATTTGTAGTTTCTAATCCTAGAGTAACTTGAAATGTACCCTCTTCAGTGTATGGTAAATAATCTGTTACATCATTGTAACTAGACCCACGTCATTAAAGCAATAGCAGCTTCCTTTTTGTAGTGTGTGTGCTAATGAGGCTTCAATTTTCTTGAGGAAAGCCTCAAGAGAAAACCCAAATGGGAAATTTATGACCCTATGAACAGAAAATACCACCTTTCCTCTTTGGGTTTTTCCTCTTTATAGTACTTAAGTTTTAAGTTCTCTGGCATAAAATAAGGTAGAAACTGACCTAAAGTCCAAAGTACTTAAAAAAAAAAAAAGGAGATTCTACAGGTTGAAAAATTCAAATGAGATAAATAAGAAACAAGATTTTCAGGACATCAATTGGGATCAGAAAGAGGGAGCACCCTCAGTGAATGTAAAACCTTAATTAAGACAGATGTGATGAATTCCTGTTAATGTAAAACTAGAGAATTTCCAATCTAGAGAAAGACAATAAAGATCATCTATTCCAATCATTTTATTTTACAGAAGAAGAAACCCAGGTGATTAAATAACTTACATGAAGACACAGAGGTGATTATTTGGCTGTGTTGGGTGAGTTTTAAAATTAATAAAAGAAAACTAGAATAGTAATAGTAATAATAATAATATTTATTGAGTGCTTTCATATACCAGGTACCTGCTGACTACTTTACAGTCATAACCTCAGTGAAAATTTCCAGCAATTGTATGAAGTGGAAAATAAGAAATTTCTTAACCAAACTACTACTTAATTGACTTACTAAGTTCACTGCTTATATCTCTATTAACTGACTGATGTGGGTAGCATGATGAATACTTTAGGCTGGTCAATTTTTTTTCAAAAATTTATTTCCATTTATCTAATCTGTAATCTGCAGGCACAATCTACATTCCTATCAGTATCATCTAAGAACTTGTTAATAATGGTGATTATCAAACTATGCCCTGACTCCAAGCCTTGATGCCAAGGGTCTTTCACCCTCCTTGGACGAGTAGCTACTCCAGGCATACTTATCTGACAATGAAAGGCAGGAGTTCGCGAGAGCAATCCCAATTGTGCAAGCACAGTTCAAACTCCTGCTCATGTCATGTCCACTAATGTCGTGTTAGCCAAAGCAAATGGCCAAGCTTACATTTAAGGGGTGAGAAAATATATTCTTCTCATTAAGGGGAGGGATGAGGGTGAATATTTGATAAACAGTGATCTAATCTACCATCTGAATTTAAAACTGGTATTTTCTTCTTTATAAAAATAACCTTTAGAATATTGTTATCAAAAGCAGTGCAAATAGTTGATTCAATACCATTTAACAAATATTTATTGAGTGACTTTTATTTGTTGGTATGTGTTAGATATTCAAGATACAGAGATGGATGAGACACTCCCTGCCCTCAAAAAGCTCAGAGACTGGGGCGCCTGAGTGTCTCACTTGATTAAGTGTCTGACTCTTGATTTTGGCTCAGGTCACTATCTCAGGGTCATGAGATCAAGGCCTATCTGCTTGAGATCCTCTCCCTCTGCCCCTCCCCCCCACTTGCATGTGTGCATGTGCTCTTTGTCTCTCAAATAAATAAAATAAATCTTAACAAAAAAAAAAGTTCGGAGACTGACCTATAAGCAAATCAAAATTTTGTGTGATGAAACAGCAAAGGCATTTACAACTCTCTAGGTTTGGTGTTACTATTTTCATTTTATAGTTAAGAAACTGAGACTAAGAAGATTAAATGATTTATACAATATTATATAACACACAAAACTGAAATCCTACCCCTTTTTAGGGCAGAAGATTAAAAACCTAAACTTCCTGTCATTCCACAAATCCTTCCTCAGAAAATGAATCTGAAAGTGATTCAGTCTAATACTTCATTTGACACTGAGTTTTGTATCCTTAAGGCAGCAGAAAACCAACATCTCAGTGAATTGAACACCATGATAATAGATGTAAAATGGATTACATATGCTTTCTGCTGCTTTGTAAATCTTCCCTTTTTACTATTTGACTTAGATTCCCATCAAAATAACCTTCATAATATTTAAATCATAAGTCAGATTTGCATATCTATCCTGGGCTAATAGGGATCTAGATGCTTGAAGATTCTTTGGTCAGTTTTAAAAATATCTGAGTCACAGGCCATAGTCTTTTAGTGGATTGAAGTTTTGTTAATATAAATGATTTTAATGATAAAGGGAAAAACTAAATGGACCATTGGGGCTTTCATTCCTGAGAAGTAAAAAGGATTATGGGCAGTAATAAGGTATCCTGAGGACTGAAAGGTATGTATAATTATGACTTTCAGCCCTGTTATCCACTACGAAGCTATTACTATAATGTCCTATATCAATATTTAATAGTGTATAATAACGTTTCAATATGAAAAGGCTCTTCATATTTTTCAGAAGACTATCCATGAGCTAATGTTTGCAGAACATTCACCATAACCCTGTTAAGGCAAATTATAGGTACCATGTTATTGTTCCCATGTTAAAAAAAGAGAAACCAGCACTTCACTTGGGTAAAGTAACAAGTCATTGGAAGAGTCCAATATAGCACACAAATCTAATGACTACTAGCCTGGATAGCAGACATTTGGCTCTTGAAACTAAACCTTTGGGGGAATGTTAAGAGCACAAAAATAAACCCAACCACTAAGGCTTAATTTTATCTGGCCTGTCAGAAACTAATGAGCACATTTAATGCTTGGGGAGGAACCAGGATAATTATGAATATTAGAAAAGATAAGGAAGCTTAATGAATCAGAAGTTTTCTTTGCCATCATTTACACTGGAGGATGTTTGTATTCTGTTCATTTCTTGCAGTGAGTTTCATGTTGGTTACTTAGGGTCTTGATTTTGGTTCACTTCAGTTATAGTTAATGTAATCCTAGATGCCAACATTTTACTACTTCACTTTTCCCTGTTCTTTCCCAATTCCCAAGCTTGTCAGCCCTAGAGGAATCCCTTCCATGATGCTTAGTACTGAAAGTCTGTCTCAGTGCTGAGACCCTCTTATGTAAACAGAAGTCCAATCAAAGCTGGGTTCAAAGCTGCAAACATTGTTTCTGCTTTTTGATGACTGAGTTTTGGAGCTGAGTTGGTCCAGTTCTTCAGGGAGTTCCCAACTATTTAATCCACTAGAAAATATGCATGGTGATTATCTCAATCTTTTTGTACTGGTTGCGGGCTGATTTGTGACCCTCATCTATTGACACCTGATCTGTTCTGGAGAATGTTCCATGTACATTCATAAAGAATGTGTGTTCTGCTGCTTTAGGATGAAATGCTTTGAGTATATTTGTTAAATCCATTGGTCCAGCACGTCATTCAAAGCCATTGTTTCCTTGTTGATCTTCTACTTATATGATCTGTCCATTACTGTGAGTGGAATGTTAAAGTCCCCTACTATTATTGTATTATTATCAATGAGTTTCTTTAAGTTTGTTATTAATTGATTTATATATTTGGCTGCTCCCACTTTGGGGGCATAAATATTTATAGTTGTTAGATCTTGTTTAATAGACTCCTTTATTATGATACAATGCCCTTCTTCATCTCTTATTAGTCTTTGATTTAAAATCTAGTTTGTCAAAAAAAAAAAAAATAAAATCTAGTTTGTCTGATATAAGTATGACTACTCCATCTTTCTTTTGATGTCCATTAGCATGAGAGATGGTTCTCCATCTCCTCACTTTCCACCTATCTTTGGGTCTAAAATGAGTCTCTTGTAAGCAGCATATCAATGGGTCTTGTTTTCTTATACATTATGATACCCTATGTCTTTTGATTGGGACCTTTAGTCCGTTTACATTCAGAATAATTATTTATAAATATGAATTAAGTGCCATTGTATTTCCTGTAAAGTTGCTGTTCCTATAGATTGTCTCTGTTCCTTTCACTTTCAATGGACTTCTGATAGAATCTGGAAAATTGTGACAAGGAAAAAAATATACATCGCTCTTAACTTCAGGTCTAGATACTCAAAGAATTTTTATTTACAGTCAGCAAATATCTTTGGAGAGTTTTAGGAGCTATTCCCACCTGTTGAAATAGAAAAGAGGTCTCAGGTTGCTTGTAACTCCTGGAGAGAATATTTGTTTACATGAAAGAGAGGTGAGGTGAATGCATGAGATTTTAGAATGACTTGTCCATGATCATACATGAACAGGCCACTAGTATAAAGAACTAGACCCATTAGGAATCAATATATTTTCTTTTTGTTATTTTTCTTTTTTGTCTTATTTTTAAAAAGTTAAGTAGATAGAAAAACTCATTAGCTCCCTTTATTTGGATGAAAAGATAAACATTCTCTCATCTTGGGATAAATTCTTTGGAAAAGGGTCAATGAAAGAGTTAGAATAATTTGCGATGGGATCACTTTAGCCTATCTTTATGCCAATAATGGATATTACTTCATGTCAGTGCTTGTGATTTTCCTCAGCCTGCTTGTAAGGGCTGGAATTGATCAATTCAAGCATTTCCATGACATAAGTTTGATATGTCTCTGTCTGAATTTCACATAGTTGTTTCTAGCTCAAAGCTAATTATTCTAGCTCTTTATATATTAAAAAAAAAAAGGTTAAAATGGCAAGTTTCCCAGATCATTTCTACCTTTTTTAGTCTCTATTTGGATAAAACTACACTGCTTCAATAGGCAGCTGACCAATTAAATGATTATATCCTTAATTATCCCTATGATTTGCAGGATTATAGTTTTAAAAATTAAATCCTACAGACAACTCATGTAACTTGCCCTATGATCTTTTAGAGATTAGATCCTTTAAAAAAAATTCTGCCATTTTTCTCTCCCATAGAGATTGAATTACTTTTGTACCCTTTTTGTTTTAAGGCAAACTATTCAATTTCTTTCAGGCCATTGATTCAGTCATTATATTCTCCATTATAAGTATGACTCAGCTACATTTATTACTACGACTCTTTGAAATAAAAACCTTTCTTTTTTTGTTTTGAGAATTGAATTGGTATGCTAGTGTTTTTCTTTCCTGTGGGAATGCCTTGTAACTGTTACATTGTTTCCCAATTTATTTGGACATATCTAGATATAATTTAATTATTTTATATGGTTAGACTTCTCCTTCCACTGGACTGACAACTATTCTGTGCCTTTCCCTTTCTGTACTTTTATCTACTCATGATTCAGATGGTACTGCTTGTCTATCTTTAGAAATCAAGCAGTTTTCAGGTGTGATTCACGTTTCATTTATCCTGTAATAGGGAAAGCAGAAATTATTATTTAATGAAGAAGTATATAGAAATGAAAACTAGAGACTGAAATGGATGAGCTGTTTTTCAAAATGCCTTCAGAATGCCAGTATCAGGGCCAGAAAGCAACCTCTTCTCTGATTTCAGATCTTAGCTTTGTTTATTAGCTCTGTTGTCTCTTTTCATTGACCGGTCTCTGAGACAGAACAATGAGAGAAATAAAAGGAAAGGAAGCTAGTTTATATATTCCAGGTCAGATTTGGCCCTAGTAACTCTATGTCCTTACCTGAGTTGTTGGAAGTTCATTGGCACTCTGAAGGAAAGGCATTAGAATCTTTCATCACTCATCCATTAA